GAAAGGAGCGGTCTCTGAGCCTTGAGGTGTGGGTTTTGGTTGATCTCTATCAACAGTTCAGATGGTGAGAGCACTCCCCGATGATGTTTTGTGCTTGTTTGAGTATCCGCCAGGCATGGCCATTTATATTTTTTGTTTTCTGTTGTTCTCACCACTCCTCACAGTGCCTGTTTGTCTGCTACAGAACAGCCTGCATACCACACTGGTAAGCAGTGCATTACAACAGACTCAACTGCAGCACCGTAGAAAGAAATGAGCAGTTGTTCCTCCCAAATGTCCTCTGATGTGCCCTCTTTATTATGGCAGGTTCTCTGGAAGGACTTTACTCTCCATCAGTGGGTCTGAGTCTGTTTTGCTTTTCCCCATAGTCTTAGTGGTGCAAACTGAACACTGTGCTGATTGTTGCTCTGCCTGTCTCCGTATGCTGACTCCTCTTCGCTTGAGATTAGCCCAGAAACATCTGTGTCATCAACATAATGATGTTGGATAAATGAACAGGTCTGCAATCAGAGGTGTACAGTAGGTAAGGAAGGGACTCGGCAGATAACCCTGAGGAGCTCCAGTGTTCAGTGAAATGGATGAGAATGTGTGTGGGCCAAGTTTCAAGGTCGGAGTGCGGTTTGTTTAAATAGTCCTTTATCTGGTGCAGAGAAAGCCCAGTGGATGAGTTTGCTGACTAAATGACTGGGATGATGGTAATTGATGGAAACAGTCACTAGCAAGAATTGGCTAATGTCCCCTAAATAATGTTTTTTTATTTATTTTTTACTCACTTCACTGCTTGTATCGAGTCTGATTATGTTGTGTAACGAGGACATTTTGCTGTTTTCTCTCAGCGAGTGATTCCGAACAGAAGAAGCTGGATGACATGAAGATCTGCACGCTGGAGAAAAGGAGACGTAATCTTTTTACTTTGGTCAACTTTGAAAAAGCACAGTTATTTTAGTAAAACGGTTATTTCTGATGTTTTAAGTTAGCTTGACCTATTTTTATAACTCTGGTG